CCTTACAGTGAAAGCCCCGCTCGTGAGGAATGCCATACCTGTGAAGCAATTGCGAGATTATTGTCATCACAATCAACACAACCACTGATTGCACTTTCAATGCACTCATCATTCAAACCAATTGTTGTGATATTTGGTCACAAATATTACAACTAATCGACGATTTCATTGATTCACTGAATGATGGCTTTGAATGAAATGACACTTTAATACACTTTTCTAGCAATAAATACATTGAGTTTTTTAAACCATTATTACGTCAATGGCTTAGAAGAGCACGTGTTTTGTTGCCATAGATTTGGCGAATACTTGGATAACACAGGCATTGATGTGACGGCTATTGAGCACTGGTTTGAAGTTTTAAGCGCTAAATGTATTCAAGAAGTAAATTGATTGTGCATTTAGTGACGGGTTTTATGCAAATTTATATACTTTAATACATCCTTGCCATCAATTTTATAAATATTTTCCGTCTTTTCAGTAAATAAATTATTTTAAAAAATATTCATATCTTTACAAATAATATAATATGCATAATTTTACTTACATTACAAGTGACACAACAAATTCAGTACATTGTTATTTAATAATTATAATATTGTGAATACAGGTTATAAATAACAAATTTATTCTAATAAGTTAAATTAATTATAAGAATATTTAGATGTAGAATTATTAACAAAATCCATCTGGTTTATTCTGTATTAGCTCAATGAGCATTCAATATAGTGTAAGAATCATGAATTAAGGATTGAATTAATCTCCATTTCTCATTCTCGCATCTGGCAAATAATATTGAACATATTCTATTCAGATTAACTAGTACAAATTAATCAATATTGGTTTTATGTACAATATATAACGTATATGTTGTAACCCAAATGACCAATAACTTATAATGTCCCTACGAGTTAGATTAATATGTAATCTATAGATTTGGAACAATTAAAATGAGTACACAATTCAAATATTACGTACAAATAGTATTGAAGGGGGAATAATTGTTAGGTAAAATATAATGACCTTGTTAGAAACATTATATACACTATCCAAACAAATAACTGTTATATAATATACAATATGTTATATAATAACTGTTACATATATATATATATATTATGTATATACAGTGATAATAAGTCTATATAGAATTCATCGCCCTACACCTCTCTATCGCCCCTACGCTGATGTTTAGCTGTCAAACATTGTACAGTACAAGCTGTAAATAACAGTCACTTACAAAGCGTTATAAAATTAAAGTAATAAATGATTAAATGTTAATCAAATTAACCTATTTTACTTAAAACAGTATTTAATCTATAATTAATAAATGTTAAAATATAATTTAAAACATATCAATGATTTAGTAATATTTAATGTATTTTGTATAGTGTGTGTACTGTATGGTGTTTGACAGCTAAACATCAGCGTAGGGGCGATAGAGAGGTGTAGGGCGATGAATTCTATATAGACTTATTATCACTGTATATACACGTAAAGACATAACAGTTTGATTTTTAATTTGTTGAATAAAATCTCTCTCGATGGTTTAATCAAAAAGCTGTCTTCACAGAATGATTTTAGGGATAATGTAGACCAATTTACTAATTGAGATTATTTGTGTAACTATCATGGTTAATTAATTATTTCAATATCAAAAAAGTGAGATTTCCAAAA